AATGGAGTGCTAAGATTCTAGAGGATAAGGATTAAAATTTAATATACAGTGATTGACCAACTACAGTTTGCCTAGATCTCTGTAAAGTAGAAATCTCTTTTTTTGTTTAAAAATGGCTATCACTACCAATCTCTCTTAGCTGGGACTACAGGCATGTGCCACCATGCCCGGCTAATTTTTTCTATATATATTAGTTGGCCAATTAATTTCTTTCTATTTTTATAGTAGAGATGGGGTCTCGCTCTTGCTCAGGCTAGTTTCGAACTCCTGAGCTTGAGTGATCCGCCCGCCTTGGCCTCCCAGAGTGCTAGGATTACAGGCGTGAGCCACCTCGCCCGGCCTCTTATTTATTCTTGCTTTTTCTTTTGGGATAGTTTTGGTTTTGTTTTGTTTTAGGGTCCTTGAGGATTTTGTGTTTTATGAAGGCTGTGATATTCATAATCATATAAGATAATGATGACTGTTTGATCCATACATTTCAAGTCTTTGTACAATGTGTTTACTGAATTGCCACAGAGGCAATTTTCCTAAAAGTATAGCTGCTTTGAAATGAATTCATTGTGTTTTCTGCAAGGGTGATAACCACATCCTCACACTTTCCCAGGGTTCTTCGCTGTCCACGAATCCTGTTCAGTTTACTTATGAGAAGATACTATGAAAGTTTAGTAAGAAAGAGGAAGGCAGTACATATGATAGCAATACGTCTGTTAATTCATTCAGTAGATTTTAAATGTCTGCTATGTGCCAGATACTATGCTAGATGCACAAGATGTGAATGAGGTGGGATAAGATGGAGGATTAAGTGGATATTTCTGTTTCTCAGAGACATAAAGCAGAAGCTTTAATTATATTACTTCAAATGTTTTGTTGAGGGATTTAGTCCTAGGAATGTTATTAGTAACCATTCTTCTGATGCTTTCATTAGACTCTGGGTTCTCTTTTGTTTTGAAGGGATCCAAGTGCTAAGAGATCAGCTGGATTCGTCCCTTCTTGGCGACATATCCCAAAGTCTCACAGCAGTAGCATCCTGGAGGTGGACTCCACAGCATCCACGAGTGGCTGGACAAAGAGTCACCCCCTCTCAGGTAAGCAGAATGATTCTGGATTTGGGAGACTGGATTTGACCATCAACTCTATTTGAGCACATCTGAAGTTAGAGGACAGGTACAGTTTGAGTATTCCATCAGAATGTAAATGTGGAGGTATTTGAGTTGCTCCATCTTTGGACTTATCTGTTTTTCATTCTCTATTATATCTAGCCTGAATGTTTCCTTCCACTTTGGAGAGAGCCCTGTGCAAGCAAGAGGGGACATCAATATGGTGTACAGTGTTAATAACAGCTTCATTCCTTGGAAGAATAAATCCTAGGGCTTTCCTTGGTGTAGTTGACAGCCTCTTGGGAAATGGAAATTTCTTATTGTTTAGTATTATGAATTGAGATGCCAAAGGGGGACATGTAGGCTGTGTACAAAACTGGGAGATAAGCAATTCAAACTTACCCTTATACCTACTTATATATCCTAGTCTGACTACCAGTTCTCTTCATAGTTACTGAAAGTTCTTAGAGGTGGTGGGAAGGGAGGTATGCAACAGTAGTAACAAAAAAGGCACAGACCCTTTAAGGTATGAGTGCTATAGGTTGCTGACATCTGGCAGAGCAGAATAAAGCCTGTAGAGATGATATCCTGGAATGCTGGGCTTGAGAAAGTTATAGTTAGCGACCTGTGGAAGAAATTTGTGCTTCCCAATGAAATTATACATTTGGTTTATTTCTCACATTTTAAATTTATTTAATGTTTAGTAACATTGCTTTGAGAAACCTGTGCTCATACATGTGCCTAGGCTCCCTTCTCTTCAGATAGCCAATACCTTTTCAGTATGCTAAAGACTGAGTCTCATGATTTCCCAAATAGTTCTCAATTCTGGACTAGCTAGCTAGAATCTATCAACGGGATTCCTCAACTGGTAAAAAATATTTAGCAAAGAGTTATGATAAAATTCTTCACACACTGTATCACCCTACCATCCTCCTTGTATAATAGGACCTATTTGTGTGCCACAATTTGATTTAAGGCACAGAACAAAACTGGTTTTTTTTTTTTTTTTTGAGACAGAGTCTCGCTTTCTTGCCTAGGCTAGAATGAGTGCCGTGGCATTAGCCTAGCTCACAGCAACCTCAAACTCCTGGGCTCAAGCAATCCTCCTGCCTCTGCCTCCTAAGTAGCTGGGACTACAGGCATGTGCCACCATGCCCGGCTAATTTTTTCTATATATATTATTTGGCCAATTAATTTCTTTCTATTTATAGTAGAGACGGGGTCTCGCTCTTGCTCAGGTTGGTTTCGAACTCCTGACCTCGAGCAATCCGCCCGCCTCGGCCTCCCAGAGAGCTAGGATTACAGGCGTGAGCCACCGCGCCCGGCCTCAAAACTGTTTTTAAATTAAAAATTATTATTATTATTTTTTTGAGACAGAGTCTTTCTCTGTCACCCAGGCTAGAATGCTATGGTGTCAGCCTAGCTCACAGCAACCTCAAACTTGTGGGCCAAGTCATCCTTCTGCCCTAACCTCCTGAGTAGCTGGGACTACAGTCATGCACCACCATGCCCAGCTAATTTTTTCTATTTTTAGTAGAGACAGGGTCTCACTCTTGCTCGGGGCTCAGGCTGGTCTTCAACTCCTTAGCTCAAGTGATCCTCCTGCCTTGGCTTCCCAGAGTGCTAGAATTACAGACGTCAGCCACTACACCCAGCCTTTTAATTATTATTTTTTTAATAAACAGGGTCTTGCTCTGTTACCACAGCTAGAATGCAGTGGCATGATCATAGCTCACTGTAACTCAAACTCCTGGGCTCAAGCAATTTTCCTGCTAGGACTACAGATAGCTAGGACTATAGGTGTGTATCACTATGCCTTGCTAATTTTTAAAATTTTTTTAGAGATGGAGTCTTGCTATATTGCCCAGGCTGGTCTCAAACTCCTGGCCTCAAGTGATCCTTTTGGTTAAGCCTCCCAAAGTGCTGAGATTACAGGTGTGAATCACCATGCCTGGCCAGAACAAACATTTTTACCAATTTCTTTTTTTTATTTTTTTGAGACAGAGTCTCGCTTTGTTGCCCAGGCTAGAGTGAGTGCCATGGCGTCAGCATAGCTCACAGCAACCTCAAACTCCTGGGCTCAAGCAATCCTCCTGCCTTAGCCTCCCAAGTAGCTGGGACTACTGGCATGCACCACCATGCCCAGCTAATTTTTTCTGTATATATTAGTTGGCCAATTAATTTATTTCTATTTATAGTAGAGACGGAGTCTCACTCTTGCTCAGGTTGGTTTCGAACTTTTGACCTCAAGCAATCCGCCCGCCTCGGCCTCCCAGAGTGCTAGGATTATAGGCGTGAGCCGCCCGGTGAGGCCAGTTTTATATTCCTAATTCCTTAGCTGTCTCAATATTTGGAGAGTCTTTTTTCTTTTTTTTTTTGACCTCAAGCTGTATCACATTGGTGTCCCAGGTTATTTCTGGAAAGAGGGCCTTGTTATCTCCCTCCTTGCCTTTTTCTCCCCTCTGTTAGTTGGGCAGTACATTAAAGTTGAGAGGAAGTCCTAGTGGCTAAATTTCATTGTCCATTCTATATATACTTTGGCTCCGCATCTGCTGGAAGAACAAAAAAATGGAGTGCTAAGATTCTAGAGGATAAGGATTAAAATTTAATATACAGTGATTGACCAACTACAGTTTGCCTAGATCTCTGTAAAGTAGAAATCTCTTTTTTTTGTTAAAAATGGCTATCACTACCACCTCTGATTACAAAGGTTGTATGGGTTCAGTTGATACCAAATACTGTGAAAGAACTTCAGGCCTGGAGGGTGGGGGGGGGGAACCACACCCTTAGAGATAGGGTGGAACCTGAGTGCCACATTCTTTAGAACCAATCTATTACTTCTAGTATCTTCTCATTGCTCTCAGAGAGCCATAATGAATTAGAAACCGAGTGCTAGAGGTGTGGAAGAGCCTTTCTTACCATGTCCAGCTGGAGGTAAGTGGAGGATGGGGGGACATCGTGGGAGAAATGACTGAGGCATTTTGATTTTTTTTTCCTGTGACCTTGCAAAGGATCACTGGCAATCCCAATTATAGGTGAGTGTACATTATAGCTTGCTGCCCATTTATGGATATGAGTGAGTAGAGAGCAAGGGGTACATAAACTTGAGAATTCTTTTACAACAGTTGCTCTTACTGTGCTTCTGAGCCGTTTCATCTGGTATTGTATTTGGACTCTTCTGTACCTGCTTTGGCACACATTTACTTTGAGAAGAGGAGAGAATATCCCATGCTTGTTTTATGGGAAGGTGACATTTGGGGGTACTTTTGCTGAGCAAAGCCATGATAAAAGTAAATACTTAGCAGTGCTGATGAAAGATATGTGCATGCAAACCAACAACAAAGCCAGTTTAACTGCCTTGGTAAATACGTTGAGGTAGGAAATGTAGACCATCTGTGCCTAAGAGTTGTACTGATTTTCCAGTTTAGGATAGTGCCGAGAGGACTGTGAACTGGTGAAGGAAACAAGTGGTATGGATGGCTTTCCACAGAATACTGAAGCCATCTTTGCCATAACAAAGCAACTGTCTCAGTGGAGGTCCGGGGTATTCTGACACTGGTTGGTGAGAGCTCCACTGTGTGGAAGAGCAGTTCATTTCCAGGCATGAGACCCATCCTTCTGTTATAGGCAATACTTTGTTCTTTCCTTGAAGGACTCTGTAAGAGGTCTTGGAGTTAGAATATGTCGCTGGCAATGGCATGCTTCTCTTTCATGGTCTTGGTAATGTGGTCAGGGCAAAAAGGGATGCCCTGCTTGTTTCAGAGACTTTTAATAGCAATGGACAGTTGGAATGGTAGAGCAATGGCTTAGTAGCAAGGATCTGTGAGTACTGAAGGGAAACAACACTACATAAGAAAAGTTGGAATAAATTGTAATGAAAATGAAAAGTGCTGGCCCTTTCAGGGAGGAGTGACGACTTTGAGAGATCCCTGCAAGAGGCAGATTCAGTGTTTGAAGAGTCATTGCATCTGGAACAGAAGGGAGACTGTGCTGCAGCTTTGGCTCTCTGTAACGAAGCTATCTGTAAGTAACTCTAACCGCTATGGCTATGGCATTTTTGACTAACTTCACAATAGGTATTATTAGTGCTGTTATTCAGATGGGATGAAAACAGTTTTTATGTCTTCTCACTCTTGGCACTCCCAAACCCAGGCCTTTTAGCTATCTTTGCTCTTTAGATTTCTAAATGTGCCTGGCACTGTTCCTGTGGCCTATGGATATTTACTGGAATAACCTCAGCAGGAATCCACAGATGAATTCTCAAGCCATGCCTAACTTCTTATCCCAAGATAAAGTTACACCTCTGATGTGAGATTAGTCTCCTCTTTCTCTAGTCACTGACTAGTGAGTTGGAACTTAGGGTAGGAAAACAGAATAAATTGACGGTGACTTCCCAGGCCTGTGACTTTTCACTGTAACATGTGATTCTTTCTGTTACCACCCCGCCCCCAACCTTCCTGGTATGTAGCACCATAAACTTACAGCAAGGGACTATGGCTTAGAATTGGTATCTGATTCTTAAATGTGACCAGAAGAACTAGTGCTTTATAAAGATAGATGCTGGTTTGGATCTTATTTCTGCTATTGGCCACCAGTAAGGGGAATTCAGGAGTAGAGTGTGGAGACCAGAGTCAGACAGATCGGTTACAGAGGACAAGAGTGGCAATCTCTAAGAAAAGCACTAGTTTATCTTCCTGATTCATTTTAGTTTTGTTTTGTTTTTTAATTTGGATTAACCTGTTTGGCCTCCATGGCTTCCATGAATGTTCCTTGTAGCCAGAGCCAGCTCTGTGCCCTGGACAGCATATGCATGGTCCATGCCTTGCATTTCTGCTGCATATTTTGAGTTTTATTGCATATCTTTGCTCATTTTTGTTCAATTTTATTCTTTTTATTTTTGTGTTTTGTGTTTTGTTTCTGCTGTATTTTCTTTTGCATTTTAGCTAAACTAAGACTTGCCCTGCATGGTGCCAGCTCTAGCACACACAGCAGAGCCCTAGTCGATAAGAAGTTGCAAATCAGTATTCGAAAAGCACGGAGCCTGCAGGATCGCATGCAGCAACAGCAATCATCACAGCAGCCGATGCAACCCTCAGCCTGCCTCCCATCACAGGGGGGGAGCCTCCCTCAGCCGACAAGGTAGTGCTTGGGAACCACATTAGTTTACAGAAGCCAGGGGAAGAAGTGACCATAAGAATTCTATAGCAAGAGCTCTCATTGTCTTGGCCACTACAGGGGAGAGAGGGAGAGATGAGTCCTGAAAAGATTTTCTTCTCTCAGGTCAGACATACAGTGAAAAACACATTGTACTGCTGGTCTTTTCTTGAATAATTCCTAGAAAGATACAAAAAGTATATCATAATAAATAGACTGCTTTTACAAATATCCTGCAGGTGAGTTTATCCCTGGACTTGTATAATAACATGATTATTGTATTTGTATATATTATGTTCTTAGACATTATAATCTGGGCTACATTTCGTGTTGCAGTAGCAACCATGATTTATTTTGGGATTTCAGTGTTTACTGTCCCTTATGGAAGCAGAGAAAGCAGTCTTTTCCTTGCTTTGATGAACTATAGAGAAGAGACAAAGATTCCCTTTGCTTTGCTTCTTTGTGGTGAGGACTAGTAGCCATTAGCGTAGTTCTCACATCTTAGCCCTGAATTTGGCTTTTACTTAGAAGCCAAATTCAAATTTATTTATTTTTCAGACAGAGTCTTGCTCTGTTGCCTAGGCTACAGTGCCGTGGTGTCAGGCTAGCTCACAGAAACCTCAAACTCCTGGGCTCAAGCAATCCTTCTGCCTCAGCCTCCCAAGTAGCTGGGACTATAGGCATGCGCCACCATGCCCAGCTAATTTTTTCTATACATTTTTGGTTGTCTGGCGAATTTCTTTCTATTGTTAATAGAGATGGGGTCTCACTCTTGCTCAGGCTGGTCTTGAACTCCTGACCTTGAATGATCCTCCTGTCTCGGCCTCCCAGAGTGCTAGGATTATTACAGGCATGAGCCACCGCGCCTGGCCCCAAATTCAAATTTAAATGAAAATTAATTTTAGCTGATAGTAAGATTGAGTAGTTTTCAAAATATAAATATAATAAAAGCAGTTAACATTTTGAACATTTGCCTAAGGTCCAGGTACTGAACTAAGTACTATTTATCTATCTATACAATTTTTTTTTTTTTTTAAAGATAGGGTCTTGCTCTGTTGGGGTCTTGCTCTGTCACCGAAGCTGGAGTGCAGTGGCATGATCATAGCTCACTGCAGCCTCAAACTCCTAGGCTCAATTGATCCTCTTGGCTCAGCCTTGCATACAGCTGAGACTACAGACATGCACCATCATACCCAGCTAATTTTTTAGATTTTTGTAGAGATGGGATCTTGCTCTGTTGCCCAGGCTGTTATATATTTTATGTTATTTTATTCTCACAATAACCTTATGAGATAGGGACTATTATCTAGCATATTTTACAAATAAAGAAACTCAGTCTCAGAGAGGATAATTATGTAAGGTACCCAGATTACTTAGCTATTAAGTGTTAGAAGCGTGGACTATAAATCTAGATCTGTTTGTGAGTGTCCTTAACCATTATGTAATACTGCCTTCTATGATTAGGTTTCCTAAATAAGTATATAATATTCTTCATAATGTGACTGGGTGACTATACTCACAACACTTCATAGTATATTCTCATTCAGATTTAGAGAGTTGTTTCAAATATGCGTAATTTAGATAGCTAAACCCTTTCCAGAAAACTTATATCACCTGATGAATGTGAGTGATTGAGGTTTTATCTAAGTGCTTACAACACTGAGTTTTTTAGGTCAGAAATATAAAATAATTAGTGAGAAACCAACTAAATGCAGTTAATCTCTACTCCTACTCCTAAATCTCAAGTCATAGTATATTACTTTGGGGAAACATCTCAGTGAAGAATACAATCAAATCCAGATTATGAAAACACAATTGAAATGGTTGATTTCTGTGTAATCCCATGAAGCTCAAATCACCCTGTATTTTATAAATGTTGGCCTCTGGGTTCCTTTAGCAGGGGTGCCTCTCAGGACTCCAGGTAGGACTTTTCTCCCTGTATAGCATCCTGAATTTTTGCTGTTTGGTGTGAGTAATATTCTGGTTTTGCTTACCTTCCATGTCATCTGTATGTGGGACTAGCAATTTTTGTTTCATAATTTGCAAATAGGTCATGATTGGAATGGGACTTCACAAATAGGGAAGAATATTGGCAAGGGCTCCACTTAATATTATTGTGTGCAACTTTGGTGAGGGCATTTAAGAAAGAGGATTAATATTACCTATTTACCTAGGTGTGAGCTGACTATGGCATTTTCTTTTGTGAACCTCTGAATTGTTGACTCTACTTGTATGTGTCTTTCTATTTATTTTCACTATTCCCTCTGTGGATAGCTAGAAATGGGAATGGAATGAACAGTTCTTTTTATAAGTGTTCCTATCAATCAAGGCAGCTTATGACTGGCTCTCTTCATTTGTTTCAGTGAACAGCCTATCCCGCTCCAAGTATTGTTAAGCCAGGAGGCCCAGCTGGAATCCTGCACAGATAGAGAGTTTGGAGCCAGTTCTTTGTTCCACTCACCTGCTTCCTGCCATGAGTCACACTCATCCCTCTTCCCAGAGTCATCTGCCCCACAGCAAAATTCCCCCAGTAGATCTGCCTCACAGCTTCTGACTTCGGTTGAGGTGGACAACACTGACCCCTCTGCATTCCATAGGCAGGGTTTACCTAAAACACCATGCAGGACTGAGAAGAATTCTCACCATGGTTGGGAGCCATTGGATGTCCCAGAGGGTAAATTGCAAGGCTATAGGGGTGACAATAGCAGCTGCTGTAAATTTCCTCCACGAGAAAGAAGAGGCATTACTCAAGAACAACTGTTCCAAGAAAAGAGGGATCCCACTGACCCATCTCTGGTGATGCCTTGGTCATGCCCAACTGGAATAGCCACCTCTGAGAGAGGAGATGAACACATCCTAGGCTGTAGTCCTTCAAATTCATCAGCTCAGCCCAGCCTTCCCCTGTACAGAGCCTGCCATCCCATCATGCCTGCTACTGCTTCATCTGAGCGTCACTCTTCTGATCCTGTGCAGAAAACTAACCACTGCCTCCAAGCCCAAAGCCTCAAAACTTCATTGACTTCAAAAGTGGATGGAGGCAGCGAGGAACCTTATAGGCCAGAATTTCCCAGCACAAAGGGGCTTGTTCGCTCTCTGGCAGAGCAATTCCAGAGGATGCAAGGTGCCTCCACGAATGATGGTACAGGTTCTAAGGACAAAAGTTTGTCAGATAGTTTAAGGAAGAACTCTTCCCTTTCTGACTATAAGCCTCCTTTCTCACAGGGTCAAGGGAAAGGCCAGTGGTCTTGGGCAAGACAGCAACCCCCTCTGGATGGTAGAGACAGACTGCCTTCCTGGGAAGAGCCTGCTGAACATCCTTCGTTTGCCATAAACTCTGGGCTACCTAATGGTGAAACTTCTAGAGGAGGAGAGTCCAGTTTGGCAGAGCCAAGTATATACCAAGGGAAGCTGTCCCAAGTGAGAGATGCTAGGCCTAAGGAGCTGGGTAGCAGTATGGACTTGGGGGCTTCCTTGCCTTTGGATTCCTGGGTGAATGTCACAAGGCTCTGTGATTTTCAGCTTAAACATGGGGCCCCTGGGCCAGGAATGAAGTCCTCTCCCCATGATTCCCATACCTGTGCAGTATATCCAGAGAGAAATCACATCCTTTTGCATCCACATTGGAACCAAGACACAGAGCAAGAGACCTCAGAATTGGAGTCTCTCTACCAGGCCAGTCTTCAGGCTTCTCAAGCTTGCTCTTCTGAATGGGGGCAGCAGGATGTGGCTTGGCACCCACTTAGCCAAACAGGTAAGAGTGCATACAGTGGTAGGGGGAGTGAGAATCATATAAAAGCTAAAAGGAGGATGACAAGATTAGAAGAAGGATGATGTTCTGTATAGATGATATCTCCAGCTTAGTAGGAGGTAGTAAAACTTCTGACTTGACTCAGAAAGCCTTCAGGACAAAGGCTAGACATTTTTCTGGCTAGAGTGGAGAATAGGGACAGAACTATCACTCATAGATCAATTCCCCCCTTCTAAAGAAAGAGACTGCTAAGTATTTGCCCATGGCTTCTCTAGTAGGCCGTGCTAGCTAAGGAATAGGTCTTTGAGGGTGACTCAGCATGAGATAGGGCAGGCTGAGCAGAAAATACATTCTTCTATGGCATAAGTAATCCCAAGATTGAACTTCCAGGTCCACCTTGCAATAGGATGTCCACACTGAACCTAATCTCCAGTGTGGTATTTCCAGATCATACTGAACCAGCAATATCAAGACCTTCCATGATCCATTCAGGAACTGCCAAGTGTAGTGTTCACAGATTTTTCAATGCCTGTAGGGTAGCCATTCACTGATTCTCCTTAAGATAATACTGAGGAGTGGAGCCTACACCTTAAGTGCACATCACAGACTTAATTCTGGAAATGATAAGAACAATGTTTGTAACTTAGATTGTTGCTTTTTTTTTTTTTTGAGATAGGATCTCATTCTATTGTTCGGGATAGAGTGCAGTAGTGTTAAAATAGCTCACTGCAACCTCAAATGCCTGGGCTCAAGTGATCCTACTGCTTCAGCCTCCTGACTAGCTAGGACTACAGATGTGCACCACAACACTCAGCTAATTTTTGTAGTTTTTGAAGAGACGGGGTCTTGCTATTTGTTTATGCTGGTCTCAAACTCCTAGCCTCGAGTGATCCTCCTGCCTCAGCCTCCCAAAGTGCTAGGATTACAGGTGTGAGCCACTGTGCCTAGCCAGATATTGATGCTCTTAACTCCAAAGCCTCAGCTATTTTCCTGGTTCCAACACTAACTCTCAGTATTAATTTGGACAAGTCATTTAATTTCTCAGTGCCAAGTTTTTACCTGTAAAGTGAAAGAATCAGCTCAATGATTTTTGTTAAGGTACGTTCCAATTCTGAAATGGTATGTATAATTCTGTGAAATTGAACTCAGAGAACTTTTATCTTTAGCTTGGGTGTGACAATTTCCATAATGGTATAGGTTTTGAGGATCTGCATTCTAGTGTAGATTTTGCAGTAACATCTATTAAGTGGTCTTTAGCTACATGGGACAGTATAATATGGGAAGTTCCTAAAGAATGAGGAAAAGCTGGAGTCTGCCTCAATGAGCTTCCTATCTAATATAAGGGAAAAAGAATATACAAATATTAAGTGTTTTAAAGAAGAATAATAAGCATATAAAATAATATATTGCAATATTGAACTAACTAGTTGAATGTTAAACATTATTTTTAAAAACCAAAGGCCCCGGGGGGAGGGGGGGAAATGGGCATTTATTGAAACCTTAAAATCTGTACCCCCATAATATGCCGAAATAAAAAAAAAACAAAAAAAAAAAACCAAAGGCCCCTTATATTACCCAAAATAGCAACATTTTTCATTGTAGGTAATTTTGAAAATATATTATCAAAAACCATTGATAATCTCACTGTTAATATTTTCATGAGTTTACCTTTGCTTTTTTTTTTATACCTATACACTATATATTTTGTTTTGTTTTTTGCAAAAAGCAGGATCATTGCAATATAGATATACAGTTTAGTCTCATTATTTTCTTAAGTTATATCTATGAGCATTTACCATAAAAACTACCTTTAGGCTGGGCACAGTGGCTCACACCTGTAATCCTAGCACTTTGGGAGGCTAAGGCAGGAGGATCTCTTGAGGCCAGGGGTTCAAGACCAGCCTAAGCAACAGCAAGACCCCGTCTCTATAAAAAATAGAAAAAAATTAGCCAGATATGGTGGTGCATACCTGTAGTCCTAGCTACTTGGGAGGCTGAGGCAGAGGATTGCTTGATCCTAGGTGTTAGAGGTTGCAGTGAGCTATTGTGATACCACTGCGTTCTACCCCAGACAATAGATTGAGACCCTGTCTCAAAAAAATAAAACAAAATAAAAAACTACCTTTAATGATAATAGTATGCTACATATGAATGTGCCATAATTTATTTATTCAACCATTCTACTATTGTTAACTATTTAGGTTAATTCCAATTTTTTAATAATAAAGCACTGTGATGAATATCTTTTCCCTAAGTGTTTGGCCACATGTCTCTTAAGGTCCTTAGAATAAACTTTTAGAAGACTGATAACTAGTTAAAGGTTAAAAACTTTTAAAACTCTCTTGATAAATACTGGCAAATTAGCCTTGAGGAAGATTACATTTCTGAAAAATATCCAAGAGTACCTATCAACTATTTTTTTTTTTACTTAATAGTATACAAAAACTAATTTAAAGACTCCACCAAGTAAGTCAGTTAGTTCTCAAAATACTTGTCAAATCAAAGTAGTCTTTATTTTGACTAGAGTCCCTGGTTTGAAAACTTGTGTCCTTAAGAATTGATATGACATAGAATAAAGAAATGATCATGTGGAATTAATCAGGAAGTGGATGATGAAGGAAAATGGCAATTAGGTTCCATATATGAAAGAATATAATTTTGGAGGAGTTCTTTATCTTATTATAAAGCATTTATTAAGTACCAAATTACTTTTTTTTTACCTTGCTTTGTTGCCTTGGTTATAGTGCAGTGGCATCATCGTAGCTGCAGCCTCCAACTCGGAGGCTTAAACGAGCCTCCTGAGCAGCTGGGACTACAGGTGCACACCACCACAACTAACTTGCTTTTTTATTTTTTGTAGAGTCAGGGGTCTTGGTATATTGCTCAGGCTGATCTCAAACTCCTGGCCTCAAGTGATCTTCCTGCCTTAGCTGCCCAAAGTGCTAGGATTATCAGATATGAGCCATTGTGCTCACACCTTTTTTTTTTTTTTTTTTTGAGACAGAGTCTCACTTTGTTGCCCAGGCTAGAGTGAGTGCCGTGGCATCAGCCTAGCTCACAGCAACCTCAAACTCCTGGGCTCAAGCAATCCTCCTGCCTCAGCCTCCCAAGTAGCTGGGACTACAGGCATGCACCACCATGCCTGGCTAATTTTTTCTATATATATATTAGTTGACCAATTAATTCATTTCTATTTATAGTAGAGACAGGGGTCTCGCTCTTGCTCAGGCTGGTTTCGAACTCCTGACCTCGAGCAATCTGCCCACCTTGGCCTCCCAGAGAGCTAGGATTACAGGCGTGAGCCACTGTGCCCAGCCAACTCACACCTTGTTTTAAAAAATTACTTTATTGATATATAATTTACATACTATGCATTTTACCTATTTAAAGTGTACAATGAGTGTATTAGAATTCAAAGTATATTGGAGTTCTTTATCCATTACCACAGTTTTAAAATGTTTTCATCACCCCAAAAAGAAACCCTGTGTCCATTAGCAGTCACTCCCCATTTCTCTCTCCTCCTCTCCCCAGCCCCAGGCAACCACTAATCTATTTTCTATCTCTATAGTTTTGCCTGTTCTGGACATTTCATATAAATGGAATCATACAGTATGTGGTCTTTTGTGACCAGATGAATTTTGACATGATCATAGTTCCTAAAGTGTTATATAAATACTGCTCTTGACCTATATTCTGGATTTCATAGTATTTTGAAGTTGGGCAGACATCATCTTATAGATACCTACTTAAAAATAAAAAAGAACTTGTTATGGAGAATTTCAAATATATTCAAAAGTAAAAAGTAAGAGTAAATGTTGTAATAACCTACTCCACTAAGTACTTATCACCAGCTTCCATGGTGATTGTCTTGACAAATTATTGATGTATAGCCAGTTTGATTTAGTTATAGCCCCCCTTTTTTTCTTCCCCATTAGATTATTTTAAAGCAAATCTCAGTATATCATTTCATCCATTAATAATTTAGAATGTATCTCTCAGAAATAAAGACTCTTTTTAAAAGGCAAAACTATATTATTATAACTAAAAAATGAACAGTATTTTCTTTCCTGTTTATTGGTTTTGGGGAAAAAATTAAAAATAAAATAAAATAATAAAAAACCAAAAAAACAATATTTATTTATTTATTTATTATTTTTTTTGAGACAGAGTCTCACTCTGTTGCCCTGGCTAGAGTGCTGTGGTGTCAGCCTAGCTCACAGCAACCTGAAACTCTTGGGCTTAAGTGATCCTCCTGCCTCAGCCTCCCGAGTAGCTGGGACTACAGGCATATGCCACCATGCTCGTCTAATTTTTTTCTATATATTTTTAGTTGTCCAGCTAATTTCTTTCTATTTTTTTAGTAGAGATGGGGTCTTGCTCTTGCTCACGCTGGTCTCGAACTCCTGAACTCAAATGATCCGCCCACCTCAGCCTCCCAGAGTACTAGGATTACAGGTGTGATTTCTTAACACAATACAATAGCTAGCCAATATTCAGTGTCGCTGGGGCGCAGTAGCTCACACCTATAATCCCAGCAATTTGAGAGGCCAAGATGGGATGATTGCTTGACACCAGGAGTTTGAGACCAGTCTGGGCAGCATAGTGAGATCTTGTCTCTACCAAAAATTTAAAAATTGGCCAGGAATGGTGGCAAATGCTTGTATGTGCCAGTTTCTTACTCAGGAGGCTGAGGCAAGAGGATCACTTGAGCCCAGGAGTTTGAGGTTACAGTGAGTTGGGCAACAGAGTGAGACCCTGTCTCGAAAAAAAAATTATTGGGCAAGAGGGTAAATATATTTTCATTTTAATGGAGATTTTCAGGTTGCATTTAGGAAGACTAACACAAGGATATATTCCTATACTTTTGGGGGAGTCTTTTAAGGAAATAAGGATTCCTAGGCTCTAATTGCAAACATTCTGATTTAGGTCTGTGGTGAGGTCTAGGAAGCTGTATTTTTAGTAGCTCCCAGATCAATCTGAGGTGGTTCTGAAACTGCATTTAAGTATCAGGAAATATTGAAAATAACTGGTCTTCATTACTTACATCAGCAATATTATGCCTATATATGCCATATATATGTGTGTATCTATACACATATATGAATCATAGTATCAAATCAAGATGTGAATTGGCTACATATGTAGCAAATATAGGTCAAGAGCATGTACATTTTCAGAATGGAAGACTTAATTAGTCAGATTGGGGACATCCCTTTGGGAGTTACATATCCCATTTAGATCAACTCTTCTCTGAACAATCTAGAAAGATTTAAAGAGGGGATAAGCATTTAGTGGGTGCTTAGAATTTAAGTGATTGAGAGAAGCTAAGTGGGGCGGGACATAAAAGACCATTACACATGTAAAATGTTTCTGAAAAGCTTCTGTTTAGAATAATAAGCAGTTACCAGTGAGATGATAAAGAGTACCATGCTGAAAATCAATAGACTTGAATTATAATCCTGGTTAAACTACTTACTACCTGTCAGATGCTGGAACTCATTTTCCTGTTATATAAAATGAGGAGGTATGATAGATGATTACTATGATCATTTCAGTTTTTAACTAGCCCAGAGATAATAGTTTACTTTGTCACTACGGATTCTCTAGAAAATCACTGTGTTAGATCATTTCCTCTGTATATATTATAAGTCTTGGGCCCAAATCTGACAGAAGCTGATTATGTTTATAAAAATGAAATGAAGCAAGATGAGAACATTCAGCTATCTGTCCACAGAGCCCTTTCTCTACAAAGTTCTTAAAGCACTGTGAGCCAAGACCCTTGTGGCCTACAGGAAACTATCCATATTCTGAAAATCTTGTTTCTAAATTTCAAGAGCATATCCTCTATTGGATTTACGGATGCATATTTTTTTATTTAATGAAACAAGAACTCCTGAGTTTGTGCTGCCAGGCTCAGGGTTTAGACTATAGAATAAGAGATGGCTTCAACTTATATTTCTTTTTTCCTCCTCAGGTTCTGCAGATGGCATGGGGAGGAGGTTGCATTCAGCCCCTGGTCTTGGTCTCTCAAAGACCCCAACAGCAGAAATGGAGCACAGTCTCCATGAAGCTAGCACAGTGCCTGCTTCTCAGGTAGCAGCCTCAGATGCTAAGGTGCTGAGCCTGGGGATTGTGTTGGGGAAGGGAGTGTAGAGAGATGTTGAGTGGGAGGGCTGATGGTAAGGCAGAGACTTGGTAATGTAGGGCCATCAGAAGAAAACAAGGTCCATGATGGGGCTTCTTTTGAGTGAGAAGAGATTGCCACATGGCTACTACCTTACAAATAACATCGAATTTGGTGTCTACTATTGAGTCTTTTCCTATTCTTTTCCATATCACTGAGGACGGGGTCTGAGGGAAGACCACAGGTCTGGTGTTATGTGTCTGCTTGTATGTGTCTGTGTGTTTGAAGGGTGCACTTTGCCGAGGCCTCAGCAGGGAGTATGGGGAGGATGAACAGTACAGTGCAGAGAACTTTCGCCGCATCTCACGCAGTCTCAGTGGCACCGTTGTCACAGAGAGGGAGGAGGCTCCAGTTTCTTCCCACAGTTTTGTAAGTAGAATCAGGGTCTGTCTATTCAGAGCATTCTCCTCCTTGCTAGGTAAAAATACAGTGCAGGTGAAGAAGCAGGGAGAAAATGAAGGTTGTAATTTGAGGGAAAGCCGTGTGCTCTCAGCAAAAATGAGGATCTGCAGCCATTATTTTATTTATACATATTCAATTGGAGCCCAGAGGAATGTTCATTTCTTGTAGCAGTTCTGAAAGGGAGTGTTATAGGATACCCTAGGGTGAGAAGAGTCATAGTAGCCTTGGGAGGAATCTGGGAAGCAAAGGCTACTGATTGGTTCAGAACCCACTGCCCTAATCAAAGGAAGAAGGGAAGAAATGGGATGGAGTATTATTTTGCTTTTTCCTCCTCACCCCACTACTCAGTACATTTTTGAGTGGTGTCCAGTGTGAATTTAATATAAAGTGAAGCATGTGCATTAGTGAGAAAAGGAAAATGATTTAAAACCCTCTCCTTGAGGCTTTTCATATGGTATTAATGCAATAATCTGTAGGAGGAAGGGACAGGAAAACCTAAGCTAGTAGAGATCAACAGACTTAAATACTATCTGTGGCTAGGTTTGTAGGTTATTGTTCCTTTTGAGAATTTCACACACTTGTCCAAGACAAGTTGAGTTTTCTTTACAGTAAAGGTCAGGATACAAAGCATCAGTGTATTAAAGCTTTTCCAAAAGGTCAGTTCAATAAAAGTATAAAAGCAAGTTTTAAATACATAGTACAAAAAATAAAAAGGTATAAAAGAATATACAGTGAAAACTAAATCTCTATCCTACTAGCCCTTCAGATCTAGTTTCCCTCCCAAGAGTCAATCATTTCTTTTTATTTTGTGTAAGTTCTTAATTCTGAACAGCCTGCCACTCTTTATTTTGGAAAAGGTGGTCTCTTCTGCCTAGCATTTGCTCTTATATACCTTCAATGCATTTAATGGCAAATTATTATTTTCCTAGGAGAGTTGGCTTCCTTTCCTCTGACCTCTATATCATGGATTAATTGATTCATTCTTTCAAACAAATGCATTTGAGCTTATGTTCTAGGTATTGTGCCAGGTGCAAGGCAGTGGTGAGTTAGATCCCTGCTTTTGTGGGCCTTACAGTCTACTGTGGAGAATAGATAAATAAACAAGCAATTATAATGCAATAAGGATTTGATGCTATGGGAGCATAATAGAAGGGACATTTAAACCAGGCTTGATGTGTCAGGGAAGGCTTCCTAGGGAAAGTAAAAAGAATATAGCAGGTAAAGGTACCTGAAGCAAATATTAACTGAATTAAAAGAAGCTCATTTGGGATGGTACAATTAGAGTGTCTGGTAAGGGGAGATGATGGAGAGTGTTGACAAGTGAGACTGAAAAGAATAAAAACAAAGGGTAGATCGTAGACCACAGAGAAACCTCACAGTAAGGAATTTGAAAGGATAGAAAGAAGTAGACAGGCTGGGTGCAATGGCTCACGCCTGTAATCCTAGCACTCTTGGAGGCTGAGGCGGGCGGATCGCTCGAGGTCAGGAGTTCGAAATCAACCTGAGCAAGAGTGAGACCCCATCTCTACTATAAATAGAAAGAAATTATTTGGCCAACTAAAAATATATCGAAAAAATTAGCTGGGCATGGTGGTACATGCCTGTAGTCCCAGCTACTCGGGAGGCTGAGGCAGAAGGATTGCTTGAGCCCAGGAGTTTGAGGTTGCTGTGAGCTGGGCTGACACCACGGCACTCTAGCCTGGGCAACAAAGTGAGACTCTGTCTAAAAAAAAAAAAAAGAGAGAAAGAGGGAAGGAAGGAAGGGAGGGAGGGAGGGACATATTGGAGAGCCAATTAGGCAGTAAACATCAATGAGACTTGGTTCCTGCCTTCCTGGATGTTGGGAGAAGAGTATAAAGGACGAGGGCCAAGTGTTATAGGTTCATAGTGATATATTTGAGAGAAGGTATGTCTTCAGTTTTGGATACATTAAGCTTGAGTGGAGATATCTGGCGGTAGGCCTTTGAATATGAGACATATGAGCTAGAAATTGAAATTTTAGAATTATAGCCCTTGAAAGGAGGAAAAGAGTATTTCCAAAAGAGGAGAAGAGCCAGGATATATCCCTGAAGAGCATCAGATTTAAGGTGGTTCTTCTTCTGAAGAACCCTAAAAGGAGACTGAGAAAAAGAGACCAGAGAGATTGAAGGGAAACAAGGGAAGTGTGATATCATGGGTACCAAAGGAAGAATGTTTCAAAAAGGAAAGAGTAATTAGCTGTTTTAGATGCTGAGAGGGCTGGTCCTTAAGTTGTATGGTAAATGCCTACTATCAGCCACTCTGTGGTAGGTGCTGAAAGCATACACTGCTGGGACAATACAAATTCTGCCCTTGAATAGCTTGCAATCTAGTAAAGGAAATTAGATACACTGGCACATAGATTATTTTATTTAATGTATTACTTACTAAGTGCCTGCATTGTTCCAGGTGCTGTTCAAGGTGCTGGGTTATGGAAATGAAAAGAAATGTATGCTCTTAGGGAAGAAAGACAATAAACAAATAAATGATATAACTCCAGACAATATTGATTATGATAAAGAAGAATAAAATAAGACAAGGGAATAAGGAGTAAAGAGGTAACAGTGGTTTTTCCTATGGCTATTTCTGATAGGGTAATGAGGGAAATTAGCTCTAAGGAAAACACTTAATCTGAGACCTCAGTGATATGAAGGTGTGAACCATGGGAAGAATATTCCTGGTAACAGAAACAGTAAGTATAACAGCTCTGAGGTAGGAATGAGTTTGGTATGTTTGAGGAACATTAAGAAAGAGTATAAAAGGTACAGAAATAATAGGAGATAAAGCAAGAAGGAGTAGCAGGGCCATATCACATAGGACCTTGTAGGCCATAGTAAGGAGGTAGATAGGTAGATCAGATTGAAGGCTGTTACAGCAGTGGTCCAGGAGAGTTTAAATATAAAACCCATAGGTAGAAATGACAGTACTTGGCAACTAATGGAATTGTGGATGGGAAGTGGGAAATCAAGGGCAATGCCAATGTATGAGTATGGGTGACTTAGGAAAATGAGGTACCAGGAAGAGGAGAATGTTGGTTCAATTTTGGATATATTATTGTTTTTGATGTTAAAGGAGATATTTCTAGGTTTTTACCATGAAATTGGATAACTAATAGACTGTAGAGCAGGATATAAGCATCAGTGAATACAAATTTGATGGGCAAAAAAGGAAGCTATGGAATGTAGCAGTGACAGGAGAGAAGATGGAGTAGAGTTCTTGATTCTACATTTAAGCATATATATTTTAGTTCCCAATACTTAAGAGAAGTATAGAATTATTTTCTCAATCTCTCAGGCTTCCTGAATTTCTCTCTCACTCTCCTTTATTTTTAAATTTCTATCACAGTCTCTCTAATTCTACTGTTAACATTAAGAAGTTTGCTAAAGACCGGATTTGCAGGTTTAGAAAGGCGAGGGATATGAGGAAGACTGGTTAAGGGAAGAGAATCTGGAGTTTGGAGTTTCATAAAGGAGCTGCCAGGGAGAGTGGCTGAGTAAATTGGGTTCCTCTCCAGAGCAAGGCACGTTTGTGCTCTAGTTCCCTCCATTTCCCTCTGCTTGCCTTACTGTGTTTACCCACCACATCCTGCTGTGTGTTAATCCTCATCTCTATGTTTTCTTTTTGTCTTGTCTCATTATAAGGATTCATCAAACGTGAGGAAAAAGCATTTGGAAACCGGGCACCGTTGTTCCAGCTCCTCTTCCCTCCCTGTCATCCATGACCCTCCTGTGTTTCTCCTTGGTCCCCAACTCTACCCTCCCCAACCACAGTTCCTGTCCCCAGATGTCCTGATGCCCAGCATGGCAGGGGAGCCCCATAGACCCCCAGGTAACTCCCTCCAATCTAATATTATATGCCAGTGTGGACCTCTAAGGATCAAATCAGTATTCCTGGGGGTGGGCGTGGGGTGTCCCAAGGTGGGGTGGTGTAAGGATATAAATTACTACTTTAAGGCAAAGCATTGATCTAGATGCATTGTGACTGAATCATTTCTTGGGCACCATGGTTCTTAGGCTAAGGGTCTAGACCAGCACCCCTAGAATCTGTCTACCTATGAGAATGAACTGCTTTAGTCATGATAAAATAAGCTTTTAAGTGACAAAGAGGAATTAATATCTAGTCTTTGGGATTCCCCAAAAAACAGAAAGTGTCACCTCTATCAGTTAGTCTTCTCCCTTTCTATGATCTGAGTCTCAGCTAAGGAGTGGTCTAGGAGGACAAGGAATGAGTGGGAGATTTGGAAAGACCGTTTTACATGGAGTACCCATGCCCAGACAATCCTGGGGAAGGTAGGCAGCATTGTTCTGTCTTTCTTCGACCCTCCACAGTAAGATGTTTTTGTTTTTCTTCTCATGAACTGAATATACAACTTAAGGCAGTGATTCTCAATGGGGAAAGGAGAAGTCCTACTGCATCTAGTAGGTAGAGGCCAGGGGTACTGCTAAACATCACACAGTGCACAGGGCAGTCCCTCCACACCCCAATAAAGAATTATCAGCTCAAGATATCAATAGTGCCAAGGTTGAATAAATGTATAGAAAAGGCATTCCATATTGGGTGTGTGGGAGGAGTGGTGTGAACAAAAGCAGAGATCTCAGAGATTGAACAAGAATGTAAGCAGAGGCAGTTTAAGGTGAAGGTAACACGTTAACAAAAGCTGAGTGAGGTTTCAGAGTGGTGGCTCCGGGAGTAGAGTCATAACAAAGGGAGTACACATTTACTATATTAGGGAGCCATTCTTGTGTGTGTAGGGAAGGATGGAGGAGGGATTATAGTGGAGTGAGGTAGAAGTATGGCAACTGTTTCATTTGCCCAGGTTGGAGGTAAGAGACTTGATTTTGATGTATATTAATATATTTTTTAAATGAAATAAAATGCTAGTTCCTTCTTTCTCTTGTGTATCTGCTCTTGGAGGAGTGGGGAGTTCAGTGGAATAGCCAGGAATGGTCCTCTGGGAAGGAGAATGGTTTTCTGAAGATACTCAGTCTTTGGATTTCTTTTCTCTCCCCAGGAACTTCGAGGAGCGTCCAGCAGTTTCTGGCTATGTGTGACAGGGGTGAAACTTCCCAAGGGGTCAAGTACACAGGAAGGACGTTGAACTACCAGAGTCTCCCCCATTGTTCCAGAACAGATGCCTCCTGGGGACCCCGGTCAGAGACCAACCAGCACAGTGGGGCCAGATTCCTGACTACTCCAGGGTGCAATCCTCAGCTAAGCCACACTGCCACACTACCAGAAAGAAGCCAGGGCCTTCGGGTTCCTCATGCTCAGTCCTGGGGCGATCTTTTCCACTTACCTTCCCACCTTCGCATTGTTCACCCTTTGTCTTCACCATCCAGCAGTCTTCACGTGCCCCTGAGGTCAGCTTGGAATTCAGGTCCTAGTCCAGGGCCCCGAACTTCTGGTCCTCGAAGAGTAGATATGCCCCCGGATGATGACTGGAGGCAAAGCATTTATGCCTCCCAATCTGGACACAGGAGGACACGGGGAGAGGGGTTTCTGTATGTTTTAGCAGATGCCCCTGGGAAAGAACAGATCAGGGCTCGAGCCCTGCAGCACAGCTGGTGGTAAGGGTCACTCCTTTCCTTTCCTGGAGCCACACCTTTCTCTAAAAAACTGTGCCTGTGGCAGAGTTGGTACCCTGCATCCCTGCCATGGTTGTACTATTCTCATCTCAACATAGAATTGGCAGTTTCTCCTAGGGCTGCTAGGAACCTCTAAAGATACCTGGCTCCTTGTGAGGGGATATTTGAAATTCCAACTTCCATTCCCCTAGCAAAAAGAAGCAGCTGCTGTTTAAGGACTTTATTTGAGCCACTTTAAAGATGTATTCATGATATTACTCTGGACACTAGCCATTCTTTAGGATCTTAAGATCACTATTTCACTATTTTATTCCTGGATGCTTTTTGCCCCCACCTCCACCTGAGCCCTCATCCTCTGTTCCCTACTATATTCCCAACTTCTACTCCTATTTTATCCACTTATCCCTATTACCTGACCCTCTATCTTCCCCATCTCCCATCCCTGGAGGGACATGTAGCCCCGTGGTCACTGTTCTGACCACATCATTCAGAACAGCCCACCCACCTGCCCAGGTATTATGGCCTGTCAGCCTTCCCTGTGCCCTCAAACCTTAGGCCTAGAATGTGGAGCTGCCAACATAACATTTGCCCTTCTGAACAGATGGAGTCAGGCATACTAACATACCCTCCTATCTTTAGCAGCAGAGCCATTACTGCCACTTGCTCATTCGCCATTGTAAACCCTCAGATTCAGCTGAACTATTTTAGGGCCAAACATACTGTTTTGTAAAGTATTTTTCATTAATAAATCTTTAAGATAGTTCTATTTAATCCCTTGTCTTTCTTCCCTTTTGTATGCTCTTGCGTTTTGGTATTGGGGTGGGAAGGCCTGGACATATATATGAAGTGGCTTTTGGCTGAGTGGAAGTGAGGAGCCAAAGAGGAATTAAAGGATATACACTCAAGGTGGGAGTCAATGAGCCCTAAAATAGAGTGCCTTTCCTTGTCATTATGGATACTAGGATGTTTCCTATCCCTTTCCTGCCAGAGGCACTCAATACTCAATATATTACACACTTCCTTCCCCCCTTCCTTAGGAAGATTTTGTGGGGATTCAAATTCCTCTTACAAATTCACTCCTGACCCATGTATTCTTGGTGCCCTCCTCTACTGTACAGATTTGTGATGTGCCTCCTATCCCTTGCTCTCTTCCCATGGCAGCCCCTCTTCTACTTTCCCCTGTGGTATAATGGTACTTCCATGCCAGAAAGATCCATTTTTACCCCTGCCTCACTCCCAAGAGTCCTTTTCCTCTAAAAGATATTTTGTGGGCTCCCTTTGTGAAAAATACCCATTGTTGGGCTTTCCTTTCTCTTTTACCTCAGCTCTCAGGATCATTGAGATTGACACAAAGAAGAGGTAGGAAGATACTCTTTGAGACCTCGGACTACTACTTACCTAATTATCACCATCCATTATGAACAGATTTTGAGCACATGTATTATTGAACAGGAGGCTGGGCAAGAATTTTTCACTCTATCCCACTTGGATCCTATATACATCAAGTTATAGATCTTCGTAGATATCCTTTTCCCTTTCCATGATTCAACATATCCCCTGGTGTCATACACTTTTCTAATAATTTCTGATAGAACAGTCAGTTCTTCCTCATGAATGTCAGTCACCTTGGGCTCTATGAAGTTTCCATAAGTCACCTGGATCCAAATTCTGTGCATGCACATAAATAAGGAACTAATTTCCAATGATCTCTTTACTCCCTTCCAAATCTATTTTCGGAATGAATCAAGAAGGAGGCTGTGTCCTTTTCAGGTGAATTCTGCAGATTCTTTGAACACCTCTTGGTGTCATTTCTTCTCTTCCCTTTACCTCTTTTGATTCTGCTTCAGCTGCTTTCTTATTTTGTGCCTTCAGACTCTTGACAATTCCAGACCCCAAACACAAGGGGCCAGAATTCTCTTTCAAACTCCATTTTAAATGGTCACTTCTCTGCTCTAGAACCTACAGTGCTTCCTCTTTGCTCCTATCTCCTGTCGACTCTTTAGTACTCAGATCTGGTAGCTAAATTGTTAAACATTTATTTCTCTGTATTAGTAGGAGATTCTAAGGTTTGATCATGTCTCCCCATTTTACTGGAAGCACCAGGAGAGCCAGTGTCGTGTTTCATTCATGACAGCAACTAGCTACACACTGCCCCCTTTCCTCAATCTTTTGTTTCTGCATGCAAAGAATTTTAACCTGATCCCTTGGCCTTGTCCTGTTTCTCTCGTAGCCTCAGTAATTTTGCCCGAGTCCCTAGAGCCTGCCCCGCCCCCGCCCCCGCACGCGCGGTGCATGCCGGTCTCAGCCCCTCTGTAGCGAAAGAGGGTCCGCCATGTTCCCCGGCGGCGCCGCCGCTTGGCTCTGGTAGTCGCCGCCCCCGCCCCCAACCCCGCCCGGCCCAGAGCCTAGCCGAGCCCCGGGCCCAGCATGGCCGCCCCGGAGCCGGCCCGGGCCGCGCCGCCCCCACCCCCGCCCCCGCCGCCCCCTCCTGGGGCTGACCGCGTCGTCAAAGGTGAGAGGTAGACGAAGCCCTGGGGGCCTGGCTTGAGGAACTGTGTGAGGGCGGGCGGGAGACCGTCCCCTCGGGAGCGGGCCCGGAAGGGCGGGCGAGTGACTGGCTGCCTCCCTTGGGGAGTGGCCCCTGGGCGGGCCCCTGCTGGACTGGGCTGAGTCGGTGGCTAGGCTCCGCGGTCTCCTGCTTGCCTTCAGGCCAGGGCGGGGGTTTTGCCTCCGGGGCTTCCTGGCCCAAGGGGTGAGGCTGCTAGCTGCAGCGAGCTCCCTTTTTTTCCTACTTGGCCTGTCAAAGCGGCGCAAGGGCCGCGACTAGCTTCCTGCTCCGCGACAGCTGCACTCGTGGCTTGCCGGAGTGAGCTCAGAGACCGAGGGGCTCAGAGACCTTCAGCCACGCGGGGCCCGGCCTTGAGCAGTCAGAAATCTCCTCGGCTTTGGCCCACGCCTGCTCCCCAGTGACAGCCGTCCGCCCTATCCGCGCTTTGGTAGCGCCAACCGCAGGGGTTAGCGCTGGGCCCTCAGGTGCCACCCCGCGGGGCAGTTGGGGGAACCCTACGGGATTAGACAAGGGTGAAGGGTCGAGGCAGGAATTGTGAGGCTAGGTTTTGTAGTGCAGAATAGGAGTAAAAGAAGCATAAAAGAAAAAAAAACCTTGTGGATAGGAAGAAGTATTTATTTAGAAAATCATTAACACTGTTAGTTCAAAAGAGGTTACCCCTACAGACATACCCCCACACACTCCCCCTAGAAGAAAAAGTTAAATGTTTCTTGGCCAGGGCAGAATTTCTGTATGTTTGCCCACAACAGGGCAGCGGATTAATTTAAAATAGAGAAATGCAAGGCTAATTGAGAGTTGTTTAAGATTCCAAGCTCTCTGGGAGAGCTTCAAAACTTCAAACACTGCTATGGAGGTGAAAAACAATTTGGAATGATTTTTCTTTGCCGTGTAGCTTGATTGATAAATTGAAGTAGTTGTATAATAAAGTTTTCCTTATTTGTATTATGTTTATTTAAAAAATACAGATACTCCTTTTATTTGTTGTTTTGGTTTTTTTTCATTCAGCTTCTTAATAAATGAACTGGCACAGCGTTTAAACCCTGTTTTAGCCTAGTTTTTGAAATCTGACTCTGTTTGAATTAAAATATCTAAAAACACGAAAACCTTTTTTGAGTTTTTATAAATTTAAAATTTTAAGTCTGAGCCTCCTTTGGTTCTTAATAACACTGATTTGCACGTAGGCTTATGTGGATTATTTTTAAAGTTAGTAGTATATCAGGTTGGGTAAGGTATTGGAATGAGCTGAATAAAGAGTTTATGGAATCCTTGTACTGAGAAATCTTTCTTAAAAGAGAAAAAAAAATTGTCAGGTCAAGCATTCATTCTATCAAGAAATCCTTGAGTTTTATGGGAGTAGGAACGATGAATATTGGCTGCTGCTGCTTTTTCTGACTATACGTCTGTGTTGTGTGTTGATTTTCCTTTTCACCTGACTGTAAGATGGGATAACCAGTCACATTCCTGAGAATTGAGTTTATGCTATCCTTATGCATCTGAATTTTGTTCCTTGTTGTATATATGGTAATGTTTTTTTCCTGTACTGCTTTAATGCAGTAAAAATAAGATTCCAAGCATAAGGCAGATTCCTTATGGGTGAGTTGTGAGTCCAAGACACAGTCACATTTGCAGTTTATTGGTATGAAATAAAAGCCATTTGATTTAGGAAAGTAGGAATGGAGCTTGTTAGTATAGAAAATTGGAATTAATTAAAGCTCATGGTTATCATATCTCATGCTTAGTTTTATGTTCTTCATGAAGACAACTTTCATTTCTTTATGGAATTTGTTAGCCAGTTGAAATGCCTGTTGTGGATCACATGTTAACAAATGGTGTGTAAAAGTCTAATTTGCACTGCTCATGGAGTCTCTTACATTTTGGGAAATTCACGTTTCATACAGATCCAGAAATCCCCTTTTAAATTTCATCTTCAGGATTCTTTCTTGCTTTCTACATTCAATAGTTGTACCCTAATGTTACATTTAATGTTAGAGAACACTGGTTGCCAGAAGATAAATGACCACTGTGCTAGTTCAGCTTAAGTTTAACTTGTTAAAAATCCAGATATCTTTTAAGTCCAGGATGTGTTGCTAGTTTTGCATCTGTACCATTTCACAGTTGTAATATTATGGAGACCCTCCGTTGGCATTGATCGTAAGTAGTCTCTTACTCCCTGAAACTTGTTATTGTCTCTAAATTTTTTACTCTGTTCTTCTAGTCAGAAGTCCTACATTTTATGGTCATGCAAGTTCTTAAGGGCATATAGATATTTCTGTGTTTAGGATCAGGTGCCCGAAATTCACTTCTTGTGAAGTTTGGGAACTCGGAATACTGTAAGTGATTTTGTATATAAATGTGATGAGCTTGTCACTAAAATTATTAGTAGTAAATCTATGACACTGATGATCAGTAATTAGGTTTCCTGGTTGGTTAAAACAAATTCTGTTGTGAGCCTGCTTCAGCTGCTGGCTCAGGTCAAATCCTTCTGTTTGAAAGTTGACGTAGCCCAAATGGTTTAGATAAGATAGTATGTGCCTTTTTAACTATATTCTGTTAAGCATTTTTCTGTTCTTTAGCTAAGTTGGAAATAAGAAAATGGAAACAAAGTAGGAAAATCATCTACTGTATCTGCATATGTGCCTTACTACCATATCAGTAAAATTGGCATGGGTAATTAAAGCTCAAAATCTTACTATTATTTTTGTGAGACGGAGTCTCACTCTGTTGCCCTGGCTAGAGTGCCATGGTGTCAGCCTAGCTCACAGCAACCTCATTCTCCTGGGCTCAGGAGATCCTTCTGCCTCAGCCTCCCGAGTAGCTGGGACTACAGGCATGTGCCACCATGCCTGGCTAATTTTTTCTATATTTTTAGTTGGCCAATTAATTTCATTATATTTTTAATAGAGACGGGGTCTCACTCTTGCACAGGCTGTTTTCGAACTCCTGACCTTAAGTGATCCACCTGCTTCGGCTTCCCAGAGTGCTAGGATTACAGGCATGAGCCACAGTGCCGGCCTCCCCTAAGTACTTTAAAAATGTACCTTTTACTGTATAGACTAGGTCCCAGATTTGTGAAACTGGATTGTCTCTTGAAATTACCAAGTGTGTTAATTTTGATAGAAAATTCATCTTTATCACTCAGAGAGCATTGTCTAGATCATGTATATGTTCCTTTTAGCACCTACAGTATGACTCATTTTCTTAA